CAATAAAAGCTCAAAACTCAGAAAAATTAGGCTTCTCTATTTTTAACTTTTCTGATCAGTGTGATTAACCATTTCATATCTGACTTTTGTGCAAACAATTTTTCAAATATTTTTTTATACTAATATGTTCATGAATTATGTAATAAACACTACACTTTAGATCCAATAAAAAGTAAGATTTTAAAGATGGGACACTTTTTTTTCAGCAGTATTATTATAGAATTATTTACAGAAATGAACAGCAGATATTTTCTTGTGAATCCCATTAGGATAAACATAGGGATATTTTGTTAATATTTCAATAGTCAGAGGATGTTTCTCTGATCACTACACTCTGAACCCGTTCAAGTTTAGAGTTAACCATTATCTTCCCCACCTATTCATATAAACTACCCCTTAATGTAACTCTCTACCTCGAGTAGCCCTCGGGCCTTGTACAGAGTGAATCTTAATGTAAAAAAAGAAAAGTTAACAGTATTATAGTTTAGTTATAGTTGTAGGTGCATAAAATCAAAAAACAGAACCAAATGGAAGAAAAGCCATTTTAACGAAGTTAATAGAATTAAAATGTATCGATGAAGATGGAAGTGATAAATAGTAAAAAGACAAAGATAGATAGACACCAACCACCATGTCAAAAGTCTAGTCAGTCATTAGAATTTCCAAATGAATGGACTGTCATATTTGTCTTTACTGGCACAAAGATTAATTATATGGGTTAATTAAACTGTCAAAGATAAAAGCATAAAAATGTAAAATAAAAATGATTTAATGAAGCTTTATTTAGACACACCATCTGCTTTCTGAGATAGATATACAAATTTTTAATATGCTGTAATGAGAAAGACAGAAAGAAAAAACTATGATCTTGATTTTAAAGTAAAAGAAAATTTTAAGATCCTCTATTTTGAAAACCTCTGAGGAGAGTAATCATATAAAAAATTTCAATAATACAGAAACAAAATCAAGAAGTTTAAAGTGGAATAATTAAATATTCAGTTTTATGATAAGTTAATTTCTTTATGTTAACAACTTCTGCAATGTAAGAACTTTTATTATTATTATTATATTACTTTCTATTCAGAGTAGTGTTGCACATCTTTGTTGCTATACTCAAAATATTATGGCCATTGCACAAGCTGACCTTTTATCATACTTGGTTACCTCCTCAGAATTTTTAATTCAACACTTCATCTATTATATATATATATATATATATATATATATATATATATATACATTTTCATTTCATTTCTCATGCTTAGAGAGTGTTGAACCTGGTCACTACTTAGATGACTACTGTAAGCAACATCCTAGAATCCCAAATAAGTTTCAGCTTTAAATAACCCACAATCAGTTGATAAACCATAAAAGAATCACTCCAGAGATCCCCCTTATTGGTTATATTTTTTTAAAACTATTTTGCCTTTGTGTCATTTATTTGTATCTTTTACACTACTTAATCCAAGGATTCTGTGGAGGCTGCCAAATACAACAATCAGCTGAAGAAGTACAGAAGTTACAATGGCTGAAATATGAGGATACTTGTCCAAGTTGAAAGGTATATAATAAACTAAAAATTCTGCTATAAATTATCTTTTAAAAGAAAGTGACAGTTATAAAGATTACAATTTCTTTTCTCTTTTGCTTCAGCTTTCCTTTGTGTTTCTTTTGACAGCAAGAAAACTACAAAGAAAGAAATGGCAAACTTAAAATGAGAAAATAAATTTTTAAGTCTTTTCAATTACTTAGAAATAAAATATTTCATGGAGATGACATCTCGTAATTTTTAAATCCCCCAAGGAGATTTTACCACATTTTTCTCTGGAATCAGTTTTAAAATTACTTCTTCCTGCATACATATACACATGTACAAATGATTCTTTAAACACAGTCATGTCCTTTTCTTTTAAATTACAATTTAAAGATCTCTTTTATGCATACATACAACCTTCACCAGTGGAAATGATTTTGTATATGAACTGTATCTATTCATATTTAGGAAGCCTAATTAAGAGCAGCTTCTTTTCCTTTCATTTTTTTAAGTTCAATACAAAAAGAATAAGTATAGTTTTAATGATAAGATGATTTAAGCTTAATACAAGGCTGGAAAAGCTTCATATTTCAATTCCCCATGAGGGGAAAAAATTCTGGTTTTAAGGTAATACAGTATAGAAAAAAACATTCATTTAAAATCAAGTGCCTTTAAATTGGTTTCTATTAATATTACACACACACACACACACACATAAATACATACATACATATATACACACACACACACACACATATATATATATATATAAAACACACACTCAAACCTCAAAACAGTTATATATAAACAGGTAATAATTGGTAATAATAGTTATACCTTTTGACAACCACCACCATCATATGCATGGGCTATTTGATATTTTAAATCAGAAATTACAAAATTTTATGACGTTAATCTTCTTAGAATGGGATCAAGTTTGGGCATTTGTTAATTTGTTTAGATTATTCATGTAATGCTTATTTAAAACAGAATCTTTCTTTCTGCAAATGATGGCATTGGATATCAAAACAGCAAAAGAAAAATGATTCTCGCATTTCATTATCAAGAGATATTCATTAAAATTTTATTTTGCTTCAAGCATCTTTGTTATGCAATTGCACACAGAAATGAGTTGCTTATTATTAGAATTGAGTACCGGTGCTGTATAGATGAGGTTCATTAGAAGAATAACAGTGGTGTGAAAGAGGCTTTTAATTTGAAAAGAAGGCTCTGTCAGGAGGCAGGGATGATAAAACTAGCAGTTTATGCTGACCTGTTATATAATATCAGTCCTACTATATTGTAATGAATGATGGAAAATTTCCTCACAGCTGAAGAGGGAACTTGAGGTAACTGAGATGAGGCTCTACAGCAAAATGCTGCAAATACTGTGGATGGAACACACGTGTTCAACAAAGTGGTTTTAAAGTAAATGTTAATAGAAAAGACACTTATACTTAGAATCAGAAAGAGAAAGCTGAAGATTGAGAGACATATAATGTGGAAAGAGAGCTTGGAGAATTTGACACTCAAAGGACATATTGAAGGTCAAAATGAAATAGTAACTAACCTACATAACAAGCTTGTGTAAATGGATGATAGAACAGACTTTGTGAGAAACAGTAATGAAACAAACACTACTTAGTACTATGAAGAATAGGAAGTTATGGAGAGTTCTGATAATCCATATAATAAAAGGACATGGCACATAAAATAATATACCACTGGAAACAAATGAGAAACTATTTGATAAATATAAGGATCATTACTTGGGGGCTGAGGGAGTAGCATTCATGCTGGTACCACTGTTCAGCATTCAAGTCTATATTAAAACAAAGTTGAGATTTAATTTTGAATTCCAAGAGTATTAATTCCCTACCCAGCTAGTGTAAAATGTGATACAAGTTGATTATTTAATGCAGGAAATGCTCTCCTTTTGTGGATACAACAAAGTCTTCATACTCAACTTTTATATTGATTTGATTCTGTGCTACATTAAAGAAAACTTAGCAATTATTTACATGAAGTTTGTCATTATACTGCACATTATCCAGACTGGTATGTATAACTTTGTTGTTTTTACCATAACATTTTGGTAATGTTCTTTGGCCTTACATTTGAAGAACATATCAACCAAAATGTTATGACAAAAACAACAAAAATGAATTTGTTAATATGTTTAAAAAATGAAAACAATAAATTTCAGAATTTTGGTCATTGATACTTGTTACTGATAAATATCCAATAAATCTATAGATTAAGCAACTTAAAAGAAAAGCAAAGTAGCATATGTTTATGCAAATTAGAAAATAAATAAGTTATTAATAGTTAGTGCTTCCAGTGAACAATCATCCAAGTTTGCCATAAATAGGAATGGTGACAGTTATAGCTTTTATTTTGTCAAGCTAAATTCAATGATTCCTATGATTCCTGCTTCCAAAGAACAGGTAACTTAAATTGTGCTTGTTATCAGAGATAAGACTGTTTTTTGTTATGATCAGACTCAGTTGAGTGATTTCAATGATTTGTACTTCCAAAGATTAAGTCATCTAAATTGGATGCAAATACGATTGGTATCACAAATAAGGCTTGTCTTTTTTGTGTATTGATCAAAGTTTATTGATTTCAGTTTGTGCCTCCAAAGAATAACTCATATATATCCTGCAAGTCTCATAAACAAATTTGTCATACCTTGTACTGGTGAGAAATTTTAATCTCTTGAAAATTCTTTTTGTTTTTGCTGAATAAATTTTAGATTTCTGCAATTACTTCAAATTGAAAATATTTAATTTTAGTTTATTTTTCTAACCCTGCAGAGCATCTTACTTAAATGATTGATATGATACTTTATCAGAAAGTGTTCTGTTTGCAAACTCTCTCTTTTTCTTTCTTTCTCTCCACTTTTAAAGTTTCTACTTTCAATTTCTCACAAAATAATAAAAGGGTGAACTGACCCTTGAAATATTTTTTCTTGATTTCAGCTCATCATGAGATCCACTTTTAGGTATATGCAAATCGGCTTTATGCAAATCTCATAAAGGAAATAAAACTCATAAGCGTTTTGCACCAAATTGGAGCCAACTCAAAAATTAGATAAATTCTCAGCAAGGTTGTTTTTCTATATTTTTAAACTACTTTCTTCTTTAAACTATTCTCTTCCCTAACACTTCCCTATGCAAGAGAAAAAAAAATATTTGTTCAATAAATTTCTACATATGCAAACTGAGAGGAGGCTTCAGTTCCTTTTCAAGTCCTCTGTTGACATAACAAGATTTGTGAATTGAAAAATTTTGTCTTGGGTTTTGGTATTGATCAGACTGACATCCCTAACCCTAACCACCACCATCATATGCAGCTTCATCAATCATTTATCGTTTATGCAAATAATGGCATTTTCTGTTTGATAAGTCAGCTTAAGTTTTGCATTTTGTTGACGTGGATAGTGCAGTAATTTTTTTTTCCCCAGACAGAATTTATTGAAGACTACATCATTCTCACTATTTTTCTCTATCTGATCATTAATATAACAAAATCTCTTTTTGTTCTTGTTTTTTTCTTTCTCTCTCTTTGTTTTCATCTTTCTTTTTCAGATTTATCTTTCTCTGTGGTGCTTTCTCTCATTTTATCTCCAACAGTCAGTCTCTCTAGATCTCACTTCTTAATTTTTTTTATTTCTTGTCTGTCTGTCTGTCTGTCCATCTAA